AAAAAATGCTAATCGCTTTACACGCATTGGAAAATAAGGAATACCACTAGGAAATTTTTTTGCCTAAGAAAAGCTTTTGACACAGTAGACCACAGCATCCTACTCCACAAACTTGACCATTATGGTATAAGAGGCCATGCGCTTGCATATTTCAAATCTTACCTTACTAATAGGTATCAGTATGTCACCATTAAAGACACAGCATCAACAACACGGCCACTTGATACTGAAGTTCCGCAGGGAAGTGTCCTTGGTCCCCTGCTCTTCCTCATATACATCAATGATCTTCCAAACGTATCCCAACACCATTGTTAACGAGGAGCTGATCAAAATATCGACTTGGATGACAGCCAATAAACTTACACTTAACACTGACAAAACCTACTACATTATGTTTGGTAGCAGAGCAGGAGTTGCGCAAATTAACATTAAGATCGACAACACTCTAATTGCCAGACATAATGAGGGCAAATTCCTAGGCCTATACCTCGACAACAACCTGAATTTCAGCACCCATATCCAACACGTAACCAAAAAAGTATCCAAAACAGTTGGGATCTTCTCCAAGATACGATACTATGTGCAGCAAAATGCCCTTCTCACACTATACCACTCATTTATCCATACCTCACCTATGCTATTTGTGCTTGGGGATCAACTGCAGCAACACACCTAAAGCCAATAATAACCCAACAAAAAGCTGCAGTAAGAATAGTCACTAAATCCCATCCCTGGCAACACCCCCCCCTACTCTTCATAGATCTAAACTTACTCCCTGTTCAGTACATCCACACTTACTACTGTGCAACCTACATCTACAAGACCTTAAATTCCAATATTAATCTTGACCTAAAATGCTTTCTTGATAGTTGTGACAGAACCCACAGGCACAACACCAGACACAAACATCTCTATGACATTCCCGGTGTCCGCTAAACCTTTACAAAAATTCAATGTATGTCAAAGGCCCTAAAATCTGGAACACCCTACCTGAGAACTCTAGAACTGTAGACACATTCATCACCTTCAAAACTACCATCAGAAAACATCTTATCTCCCTGATACACCCTGTCGACTAACTACACGAATACCACCTGGTGGTTCACACTTACACTCACTCACCCATTTGACCATAAACAGAAATATCAATCTCAATCTTAAAATAATGAATCCTAACTAGTCATAAGTTGGCCTGTGATACTCCAATACTGAAACTATGTATAGTGCCAAAACAAAAACATTCACATTGCTAAACTCACAAACTAGTATTTAGTCACTTAGCCATAATACCAACTTACTTCATAATTTGTAATATTTTAAATATAAGAATTAATCAAAGTCTGCCCGAAATGCCTAGCCATGCTAGGTGTTCTAGTGGTACACTCTGTAATTATTATTTTACTACATGTAAACCACACAATAACCAAATTCTGTAAACTCAGCATTGTAATCCTTATAGAGAATAAACTTTGAAGTAACATTTCCCATTATGGTCCTTGTCTTATTTTTTTTTTTTTTTTACATGGGCAAAGTATATAACATGCCGTTTTATCCACGACCTTTGTGATGTGAATAACAGTAAATCAACATGACCCATTTGCAGATAATGTTTACAATTTAAAAGATTAACTTTCCGTAAAGTTGTCAAAATTTATTTCAACAATCAAAATTTGAGTTTCAACTTGTTGTAAATTAGTGACTGAAGAATAATACAAATACAAATAAGCGCACTAGTACGAGTTTGAGTCTTCAGACTTAATCATCAAGAAGCATGGCTCAGATTCATTTGTGTCTGCATTTGCTACAGAAAACAGAAGTGTCAAGTGTTAAGTAGAGTGAAGACGTCAGCGTGTTGTCAGTAGTTTCAAGCCGGAACTTCACTTCCCTCAGTTGACTTTTAAGAGTTGGCGTCCCGATACGAAAAACATGCGGTGTATATGGTTGAGTATACATAAAGTGTATATGTAAGTGTTTATGTGCTGCAGAGGAAAGTGAGGCAATGTGTATGGTTGGCCGGCATGCCACGCCGGCCAGCTGAGCCTTCTGCCAGCCATTGATTGCCCACCCATTGATCCACGCCACCAACACCCTACTCTTCATCTTAATAACAGCTGTACTTTTCCATTTTACTCTCATGTTAACCGAGTTCTGGCTAGTGTGAACATTCCTTCTCACACCAGGGAACTCTGTAAGACAAATAATGACTCTGTATACATGAAATTACCTCCTAAATGAGCGGCCTCGTGAAGTTCACTCCCTTCGCTTGTGTGCTCCTGCCTCAGTGCGCAGACGCAGGGCGCACATCTATGGCGCCAACTTCAAATTCATTTGACCTCGACAACATGCAACGTGACATATTTGTCTATACTTGTGTACATATTAGTACATACATGCTGAAAGCTTACTTTGAACCCTATTTTAGAGATGAAAGCTCTTGGCCGGTAGTGAACAGGTTACACTAACTAAATGACCCGTGTTGTATCATGTAGAAAAAATATTATTATTATTATTATTATTATTATTATTATTATTATTATTATTATAAGCATTGAACCATATTAACCAACCTGTACTCACCTATATGTAGTTGCAGGGGTCGAATCTTAGCTCCTGGCCCAGTGTTTCAAATGGAAGTTTGCCAGATTCCCTCACTTATTCACGTAGGTCCTATCGTACCTATTCTTAAAGCTATGTACGAAGTCTGCCACCACTTCTTCGTTGAGGTTATTCCACTTCTCGATCCAGGTATACCTCCAAGTATGATTACTCTTAAACTTCATGACATCCCTGACTGTCTTTCACCTCCAGCTGTGCCTTTGAGTACCTGTCCCTATCTGTCTTATCGATCCCTCCTAGTATTTTTTATCATTGTCTCCCCTAGTCCTCTGTTCTCCAGGGTCGTTATATTCAATTTTAGCCTTTCTTCGTAGCTCATGACTGAACATTAAAATGGTATAAAATACCGACAGGTTGTTAGGTAAGACAGTGCAACAGTTAGGTATCTTTATTTCGAAACGTTTCGCCTACACAGTAGGCTTCTTCAGTCGAGTACAGAAAAGTTGATAGAAGCAGAAGATACTTGAATACGATGTAATCCGTCCATCACCCTTGAAGTTTTGAGGTGGTCAGTCCCTCAGTCTGGAGAAGAGTATTGTTCCATAGTCTGAAACAATATGGAGTTGAAGTGACAGGATGGAGCCTTATATACCGCCATATATATTGTTTCAGAATATGGAACAATACTCTTCTCCAGACTGAGGGACTGACCACCTCAAAACTTCAAGGGTGATGGACTGATTACATCGTATTCAAGTATCTTCTGCTTCTATCAACTTTTCTGTATTCGACTGAAGAAGCCTACTGTGTAGGTGAAACGTTTCAAAATAAAGATACCTAACTGTTGCATCTGTGTCTTACCTAACAGCTCATGACTCGTATGTATCTGGAACTAGTCTTCCCATACACTTCACTCATTTCTCATCATGGTTTCTCAGATGTAGGCTCTATGCTGGTGCTGGCTTATATATTTTGTATAAGTGCCTAAAGTGACTCTGTTGAGATTCCTGAAAACTACTTCTAGATTTGCCAGGCGAGCATTGGTTGCAGAGATTATTCAGTTGATGCAAGCCTCTGTTGATCTGCTAAGCACTATGCATGCTCCCAGATCCTTATCTTGGAATGGGGTCTCAAGCCTCTGCTTTCCAAGTCCATACTACATGCCCTGTCATCTGGCCCCTTCCCCAACCATAACCTTGCATTTCTTGGGACTGAATTCAAGCAACTACTTACCTAACTAGCCCTGCAGTTTGTCCAGATCCATTTGCCCATGCCGGGGACTACCTAGATGGGAATTTCCCAAATTCCTTCTATCTTGCTGCAACTGAGCCCACGGAAGTCACCGAGATTATAAAGTCACTTAAAAATAACTCAGGGAATCTGTCTCATGTCCCACCATTATTGTACAAGAGAGTGGCCCATGTCCTCTCGCATATTATCTCATTACTTTTTAACAAGTCACTAGAAACTAGCACCTTCCCGAAATTACTCAAGACGGCAAGGGTTACACCAATACATAAAGGTGGTGACCCTACAGATTTAAACAACTATAGGCCAATATCAAACTTGCCATTGCTATCCAAAATCTTTGAGAAACTCGTGCACAGAAGACTGTATTCATTTATAACGTCACAAAACATACTCAACCCCTGCCAATTTGGATTCAGGAAAAATAAAAGCACTAACGATGCAATCATAAAAATGCTAGATCTGCTTTACACAGCATTGGAAAATAAGGAATATCCACTAGGAATTTTTATTGACCTAAGAAAAGCTTTTGACACAGTAGACCACGGCATCCTACTCCACAAACTTGACCATTATGGTATAAGAGGCTATGCGCTTGCATATTTCAAATCTTACCTTACTAATAGGTATCAGTATGTCACCATTAAAGACACAGCATCAACAACAGCAGCCACTTGATACTGGAGTTCCACAGGGAAGTGTCCTTGGTCCCCTGCTCTTCCTCATATACATCAATGATCTTCCAAACGTATCTCGACACCTGAACCCCATTCTCTTTGCTGACGACACGACTTATGTCATCTCTCACCCTAATCTTGCCACCCTCAACACCATTGTTAATGAGGAGCTGATCAAAATATCGACTTGGATGACAGCCAATATACTTATGCTTAATGTTGACAAAACCTACTACATTGTTTGGTAGCAGAGCAGGAGATGCGCAAATTAACATTAAGATTGACAACACTCTAATTGCCAGACATAATGAGGGCAAATTCCTAGGCCTATACCTCGACAACAACCTGAACTTCAGCACCCATATCCAACACATAACCAAAAAAAGTATCCAAAACGGTTGGGATCCTCTCCAAGATACCATACTACGTGCCGCAAACTGCCCTTCTCACACTATACCATTCACTTATAGTATATCCATACCTCACCTATGCTATCTGTGCTTGGGGTTCAACTGCAGCAACACACCTAAAGCCAATAATAACCCAACAAAAAGCCGCAGTAAGAATAATCACTAAATCCCATCCCTGGCAACACACCCCTCCACTCTTCATAGATCTAAACTTACTCCCTGTTCAGTACATCCACACTTACTACTGTGCAATCTACATCTACAGGACCTTAAATTCCAATATTAACCTTGACCTAAAATGCTTTCTTGATAGTTGTGACAGAACCCACAGGCACAACACCAGACACAAACATCTCTGACATTCCCCGTGTCCGACTAAACCTTTACAAAAATTCAATGTATGTCAAAGGCCCTAAAATCTGGAACACCCTACCTGAAAATTCCAAAACTGCAGACACATTCATCACCTTCAAAACTACCATCAGAAAACATCTTATCTCCCTGATACACCCTGTCAACTAATAATACGAATACCACCTGGTGGTTCACACTTACACTCACTCATCCATTTGACCATAAACAGAAATATCAATCTCAAAATAATGAATCTTAACTAGTCATAAGTTGGCCTCTGATACTCCAACACTGAAACTATGTATAGTGCCAAAACAAAAGCATTCACATTGCTAAACTCACAACTAGTATTTAGTCACTTAGCCATAATACCAACTTACCTCATAATTTTGCAATATTTTAAACTTAAGATTTAATATAAGTCTGACCGAAATGCCTAGCCATGCTAGGTGTTCTAGTGGTACTGTAATTATTATTTTACTACATGTAAACCACACAATAACCAAATTCTGTAAACTCCAGCATTGTAATCCTTATAGAGAATAAACTTTGAATTGAATTTGCAGCCTTTCCCATCCTCATCTTTTTGTATTCTCCTCATTAGTTTTACATAATCAGCAAAAAGATATATGTAGAGAATACCTGGAGGGGGTTCCGGGGGTCAACGCCTGATTGCTCAGTCCATGATTAGGCCTTGTGGTGAATCAGGGCTTGATCAACCAGGCTGTTTCTGTTGGCTTCACATAAACAGACGTATTAACCACAGCCCTGCTGGTCACGTACTGACTTTAGGTGCCTCTCCAGTGCCTTCTTGAAGACAGCCAGGGGTCTATTGGTAATTCCCCTTATGTGTACTGGGAGGCAGTTGAACAGTCTCGAGTCCCTGACACTTATTGTGTTGTCTCTTAGCATATTCAAGGTGCCCCTGCTTTTCACTAGGGGGATGTTGCATCTCCTGAAGAGTCTTTTGCTATCGTAGGCAGTGATTTTCGTGTGCAGATTTGGGACTAGTCCCTCTAGGAATTTCCAAGTCTATATTGTGTATCTTTCTCACTTGCATTCCAAGGAGTACAAATCAAGGGACTTCAACTGTTCCCAGCAATTTCAGTGCTTTACCATACTCATGTGCCACAAAACTTCTCTGTATATTCTCAAGGTCTGCAATTTTGCCTGCCTTGAAAGGGACCATTAGTGTACAGCAATATTCCAACCTAGAGAGAACAAGCAATTTGAAGAGAATCATCCTGGGCTTGGCATTTCTAGTTTTGAAGGTTCTCATTATCCATCCTATCATTTTCTTAGCAGATGTGGTAGATACATTGGTGTGATCTTTGAAAGTGAGATTCTCTGATATTATCACTCCCAGGTCCTTCACGTAAGTTTTTTGCTCCATTGTGTGGTTGGAATTTTTTATATTCTGATACAGTTTTAATTTCCTCGAGTTTTCCATAGCAGAGTAATTGAAATTTGTCTTCATTGAATTTCACATTGTCTTCATTTGGAGATTTGCAGTGTCTTTGATGGATGACACTCGTGCAGATTTTGGTGTCATCTGCAAAGGAGGACATGGTGCTGTGGCTTACATCTCTGTCCATGTCGAATATGAGGAACACGATGGGAGCGAGTACTGTACCATGTAGAACAGAGCTTTTCCTTGTAGCCGCTTCTGACTTTACTCTATTTACTATTACTCTTTGTGTTCTATTTGTCAGGAAGTTATAGATCCATCTACCAACTTTTCCTGTTATTCCTTTATCACACATCTTGTGAGCTATTACACCATGGTCACACTTGTCAAAGGCTTTTGCAAAGTCTGTGTATACTACATCTGCCGAACTGCAGAAAATAACTACCTGGATGATGACAAATAAGCTTACCCTCAATACTGACAAAACCTATTTCATTCAGTTTGGAAACAGAGCTGCAAATATTCAACTTAATATAACACTAAACGGATCACCTATCACAAGACTCACAGAGGGAAAATTCCTAGGAATCCACCTTGAAAGTAGCCTCAAATTCTACACACATACAACAAATTTCAAAGAAAATCTCTAAGACAGTAGGCATACTATCAAAGTTATGGTACTGT